CTATGTAAGGGATAAATTTATGAGAAAATGACAATTAGAGACCCTATAAAAATATTAATTATAATTACAGATCTTAATTATTGAAATTCCAACAATAGATTATGATCCTTAATAAAATATCTGTTATTGATTGGTTTGAAATTGACAATTTATTTTAGTAAATTTTTAACTAATGTTACAAGGATTTTTAATTATTTTTTGTTAATTTTTTAAATAATTTATTTATATATTGATAATAAAAAAAATAAAAAATGATTAGTTTGTGATTCGTAATTAATTATTACAAATTTTTAATTGATATTATAAATAATTTTATATGTATTTTGTAAATTTTTTAAGAAATTTATCTATATATTGACTGTAAAGAATTATGGTTTGTGTTTTACAATTGATACTTGTAAATTTTTAATTAACATTATAAATAATTTAAAGTATATTTATTAATTTTTCAAGTGGTTTGTTTCTATATTAAAAGTAAAATATTGAGATTCACAATTAATTTCTGTAAATTTTTAACTAAAATTATAAATAATATCAAGTTTTCAAGTATAGTTTATTGATTTTTCAATTAATTATTTGTAATTTTTTTAATTTTCAATTAAAATTATAGTCTATTACTGTGATTTTAATAATTCAAGATCTATAATTATAATTAATGTTCTTATGGGATTTATAATTGTCATTTTTTCTAAATTTATCTGGCTGCACATTAAAGAAACTTGAAGATGCCTTGCAAGAGTTCACTTATATTTGTGTCCACAAAGAATCTTGTGATCATAGATGCGATGAAGTTATTAAGGAAGCAATTTATCTAGCAAAGGGAAAGATGCGAGAAGCTTGGTGACATTGGGATTTTTTTACCCACTTGTAATTTGGAGTTAACTGAGATTTAGATGAATATATTGTTCATATATATAATATCATACATTGTTCATTAAACCTGATATGCATGGTTTTGTTGCCATTTATGTGATTTTTATTTTGGGCTCTTGAGTCATGTTATGGTTTTGCATTTGAAATATTTAATTAGTCTTTATTGATAGTGCATGGATTTTTGTGAACAAATCCAAATCGAAAACAATGTTTCATTACAATTCCTTTGGGATTTTGAATAACTAATATACATTAGTTATTTCAAATTTCAACCTTCCTTTTGAATACTATCCAAACACGTGGACTAGTTATACAAATTGAATAACTTATTCTCATTGGTGTGAACTTTTATACTACTCGAACCAAAAAAAAAGATACACAGGTTTTAAATATAAGGTTTTAAATTTTAAATTAGAATCTAAATCCAGTTCATATATTTTTTTGGCCAAGAATCTAGTTCATCTATTGAAACCCCACTTAAATGTAAATTTAATAATTAGTTAATTTCTTTCGCTTTCTCTCTTTTATCAAAGTATATTTAAAAAATAAATTAAAATTTATTTAAAAAATATAATTTTGAATAAGTTTAATTATTTTTCATCAATTAGGCTTAAATATAAGAATAAAGATGCAAACAAAATAGTTTTAATTTTTCTATTAACACAAAAAATTATAAACATTCGTGTTATTAAATATACACGTATCTAACCAAAATAATGCATGGCAGTTGGCACACAAGTTCTAGTTTATTTTTCAACGGATCCCACATTGTTACGTCATATTTTTTGATATGGACACGTCCTAATTGCGAACCGCAAGCTAGACTTCAATGACATCGACATCCAACACTCAAGCGAACATGTGCTTTGAATCCCAATTAATGATTTTATTTTTTTTAAAAAAATACATAAAAACAATCAAAGATTTGAAAGAGGATATAAAGAAGACAAAAATGCCTTTCAAGGCTCATACAAGTACGTTTTAAGAAGAATGACATTTACCCAGATAAATTTTTTTAAAAAATAAATCAAAAATATTATTTTAAATAATTGTAAATTCAGGAGTTTTTATTATAAATAAAACATTTAAATTTTAAATATAATTCTCAATTTACAATTAAGATTATTGTTTTGCAATTGTCTAAATCAATATTTGTAAATTCATTTTTAAACAATTTTGTTAAAGACCTAATTATCATTGATTATTATGTCTGGAATTTTGCTATCATCTTTTCAAGTTTTAAAACCATGTTTGGTCACTGGTGGTGTCCATAAAGGCCATCCTTTCAGTGATATCATTGATATTGCAAGACTATTTTAGAAGAAATTGGCAGAGGAATGCCCTTTGTAATGTGTTTTTGTAAACTTTGTGTTTATTTGTTTTTGTAAATAGTGAATTCAGTCTCTCATTAAAAAGAAATCATATTTAATCTTAAATATAAGGTAAAAGATGTAGTAGTTAATTATATTTTTGGGGTTGTTAACTATAATTTTTTAAGGACTGTGAACTTGGTTGACTTTGCCCAATAATTGATACGGGTGGGGAATATGATACAACTAAAAAGATCCAAACTTAGAATGGTTAGTATCCAAACCTATGTATAATTTGTTGCAAGCATTCCTTTAGACTTATTATAAAACATCTATTAAAAATTTTACTTGATCTAAAATATAATGTATTGTATAATTTTTGTAATTATTTTTTTAGCTAAAGTATACATTTGGTTATCTAATTTTATATACAGTTTCAGTTTAATTTTTTAATTTTATAAATCATCTTTTTAGATCTAACATTAACACTGTTAGTTTAAAATATTTATTTTTGTACTAATCATTGTTATTTTTTAAAAAATTAAACTTAATATTTTAACATTTAAAAATATTTTGTCAATATTTAAATGCTTATTGTAAATTTTTTTTGCTAATAATAAAATTAACTATGTTATGGTTAAAGAAATTTATATTTTATAAATTTAAAGGATCAATAAAATTTTATATAAAGTTAAAAGATTAAAATTTTTTTAATTATACTTCTACTTCATTTATTATTCTTTTTTCAAAAACATGTGTGCTGAATTGCAATTATGATTATTGAATTAAAATATTTATAAAAGATATTTAATAAGAATATAATTAAAAATTTATATAAAAAATTTAAACGATTAATGACCTGTTGTGTAAAGTGGAATTGACTTGGGAGAAGGGGAAGTGAAATCGAAAAAAGTTTCAATTTTAGAATTTTAAAATAACTATCAAGACCCTATGCTATCGCGGTCTGGTGGGGTTAGATTGTATGATTAAGACTTAAATTAATACTAACAGATGTGTTCATAAGTTGGTGACACGTGGAAATATTATTGCGGCAATTATAATCTCCTCGTCATCATTCAAATGCGCACGTCTTGTGTCAATTAAAGATTTAAAATCATAGACAAGCAATCATAGAATCACGCTTTCCACGCTTTGCTTTTTGACTTCTTGTTCAACTTATTGTCTTGTTGTGCTTGCGCATGAAATTTGAAATAATCTATATCTATTTATTTATACTTATAAATATAATATATTATTTTATCAAAAAAATAAATATAATATATTATAAAATTTATAAAAAATTTAGGTCATGTATGATGTTGATTAACTAATTACATTACCCAATGATCCATAACCTGAACATGTGATGATTAGGGCAGGTGTTACCGGGAGCAAGATTCATTGCATACCCAAAAAAAAAAAAAAAAGAAGGAATAAGTGAGGCTTGCTATCACTAAATAATGATGTTTCTAAATTTTTTAGCCATAAATGATATTTATAATTAAAAATAAGGCGGATTAAGGCATATAGTTAATTTTTTTTATTTTGTCAAGAATATATACCCCTATTAAAGGGCATTTGTGAAACCATGCAATAACACTTCACTCAATTATATGAAGTTTTTTTATATCAAGGACTAAAGAGATCTTTTAAAATGCCTCATATAAAGAGTATTGAAATTTTAATTGAATTTTTTTTATAGTTGACAAATTTTTAAAATTTGTATATACTATATTTTTTGGGTATTTATTAAATTTTGTTGATATGATTAATTACATATTATTTTAATACTTTGAACTTGAATGATTTATAATTAACAAAAAAAATATTATAAAAAGTATAGATAATGAAGTAAAATTAACTCGCAGCGTGGTATTAACACAAAAGTAGTATAACATTAACATGAACCAAATTAATAATGATTCAAACTATAAGAATTTAATTATAATTTTTCAAGACTAAATACATATTTAAAATCAATAACAATATCAAACTAAAAATACAACATTTTTTAAAGAAACCATAAAAAATAAAAAGAAAAGTAATTTATATTAAATCATATCATATTCATATACTATTGTAAAGCGAATATAAGAATGAACAGTAAAATACATTTTTTTATTTTTTTTAGAGATTATGCAAGGTTGACAATATAAAAACAATTAAATAAGTGCGAGGTTAATAGTAAAAAAAATAATGCTAAATGTAAGACCCATAATAGAAATAATATGTGTAAAATCCTATCGTTTAATATTTATATTCTTTTATATGTATAAAATAATAATATCAAAAATATTTGTCCCACAATAAATCTATAGTGGGATAAATTTCTAAGAGTAACAAGTAATATGTGTTATACTATTTATTGAGAATAAATTTTACTCTTCAATTAATTATGCGGGGAACTTAATAATACATTGACATTTTAATTTGATTTCAAAATTTTCCTCATATTAATCAAAAGAAAAGCATAAATATGAGAGACTAGCATATTTAAAATAAAATAAGTTATTATTTATATGCATTTGCAAAATAAAATATATAATAAAATAAGTTGTTATTTAAATTTAATTTAAATAAATAAAAAATTATAAGTAGACTAAAATAATTATTTTTTATTTTTAAATTTTTATTTTATTTTTATCTTTTAAAAATTAAAATATCCCGTGCATGGCGGGAAATAAATCCGGCTACATGCCATCAGCCTGTCGAGAAAAATCCGCCAATAAATTCGTTGTGGACAGAAATTTGACGCAGACAAAATGGTCTATATATATATATATATATAAAATATAAATGGAAATTAAATTTTCTGGTTCGTTAGTCGTTACACTTCGCGATGAATCGAGGCTGAAATTGGAAATCATGGCAAATGGCAGCTTCACATTGTCCTCGCCGGTGCCGTCCTGAACCTAAACGACGATTTGATGCTCTGTCTCGTTCTTATCCCTTTCTCTGAACTCTCAAAGCTGATTCTCTGTTTCTCTCTCTTGTCCAAATGTCAATATTTTATTGATTTTGAAGCGTCGAAGCAATCAATAAGCTATGCCATATATTCCCTCCCAAATTTCCAAACCCAACTGAATACTCAAGCCGAGGTTGTTCTGTCATCTTCCATATCGGAATTCATACTTTTAGAGTTTTTTCTATTCTGTTGCTTTCTCCAGCGATGGTCCCATCGGCGGCGACCTTGACCGAACGCCGTCGAGTGATTTCTACGACGATTGGTGGTGGAAAAGCCACGGTAGATGTGGATTCGGGAGAGCTGAGTCGAGAAAATGGCTGTAACAGCTCAAGGGAGAAACGTGTCGGAGTCGCCGGGAGAAATGGCCCTCGGCCTCAGCCTGCTCGGCAATCGTCGTATAAAGAAAATATTGGTCACATTGCTGCCGAGACGTATTTGATCACTCGGCTTGCTTTCACGCTTCTTCGATGTTTGGGGTACTTGATTTGATTGATTATTTGCTGCAAGTAGAATGTTTGTGTTTGAAATTGTGAATTGTCGATGTTTTGATTGTATTCACGATTTGGTAGTATCGTTTGATGATAGCTAGCATTGGATTGAGCTGGAGAATCCGTGTTTGAAAACGTAAATTTTTTGGTCTAATGTTTGAAGAAGTAATTTAAAAAGAAAAAAACGATAGTTCTTTAGGTGAATCTCCACCATCTTTGCGCCAAAAAAACCAACCGAAAAAATCTGCGGCAGCGACAGTTGAAATCGAATGGGAGCGTTCAACAATTGAAACTACCTAATCATACCACGTGATTTGTTGAAATCAACAATTGTTTACGGGAGTTCAAAACAGAGTTCTCCTGCTACAATAGATTTTGATAAGGTCAAATTTAATGGAATGCAATATTGTAACTCAGTAAAATGCAATCGTTGTTGATGACAAAAATTGAGGTTTAATGAGTTTACGAATCAATATCCTATGGTTTAATGTTATTCTTTTATTATTTCTTTTAAGCTTTTGATTTTTCAACAATGTTGTTGTTTATTTATTTAAGTTAGTCTACAATGATCTTCAATATTTCACATTACTTCTCAGAATGCTTTCTGCAATTTACTGGAGTTGAAACACATTTTGACATGCTAATTGTCTTAGCTCTTTCATGGCAAAATTTCCGTGAAACTAGAACCATTAAGATTCTTCTGCTGTGACATGGAGTTCAGTCATGTTGTTAACTTGTGCTCATCGTATTTACTATTGATACTTTTATAGGATAGGTTATCTCTGGATCACACAATTACTTGCCCTTGGATGCTATGCCATGCTTCTTATGCCTGGTTTTCTACAAGGTATGTAGTATGTTACTTGTACAACTTTTCTTATGTAATTAGTAATTTACAAATCGAGTTTTGTGTTCTTTTTCTCTCGTTTCCTTGTCTATGGAGGATTTGAAAGAAAATGAAAGACTAGGCTGTCTCCTGAAATAAAAGTTAGAATAGAATGGAACTGTGTCCATTGCTTACCCTAGATAAGCTGTTTGATCTTCCTTCTGGTACCCAGCACTGAATGGTGGTGTCAAAATCTCCTTCCTTAACACAGTAGATTCAAATTCACCCAAAGTTAGAAAGTGCCTTCCTGCAATGCAGGGGAATTGATTATTATATGCCCATATTCTGAGGAAAAAATCATCAGCACGTGCACAGTAATTCTGCACTAACCATCTATTTGAATTATATATATATATATATATATTATATTGATATTGATAGTTTAATATGGCTCATGTTTAGCTTGTAGCTCAATGCTACGGCTCTTGGCACAATGTCATATTTGAAGCCGGCAACATAAATAGCTGGAGCCCTTGTTAGGCGGTTATCTTAAGCATATAGGTCCTTCAGGGAGTCCTTAATCATAGGAGTTCAGTTTCTGGTCTTATATACTGCGTCTTCATAAAGGAATAATCTAGTATGCGATCTAAACACATTAGTGCGAAATTTCTGTGCTATTTATTTGTCAACTAGTGAATCTACGTTCTCAAGGTAATCCCTTATTAAATTAGTACGTTATCTAGTACAACTTGCAGTTTTATCATAAAGGCATTTTGCATATTATGAAATTTATTGATGATACTTGCAAAAACTTTCTTCATCACATTTGTTTCGTAAATTGCAAATAGTTCATAAGTATGAAACCATAATGATGGTTTCTTTGTACTTCTGGAGATTGGTCCAGTTCTAACTATTCTTGATGGGTTTCCAGATCTGATCCTCTATGAGCAGATTTTTGCCTAATTCTATTCTTCCTTTTTGGATTATTGCCTTTTGATTCTGTAGTCAAATTTCATATTTATTTCTCTTTCTTTGTTTTTTGTTACATTAGTTTTATGAGGTTCCAGATTTCTAGTGTTTGACTTGAAGACATGATCTTTATTTAATCTCTTCCATTTGACTAAAACTTCAGAAGTGTTCAGAATCCTTACATCTGTTTCTTCACTTGCTTTCTAAATCTTGCTTCTGTAGCACATTTTGACTTCTTAGAGTTTATTGCTTCTTCTACTTATGTGTGTGCAGCCAGTTCCATAATACATGCCTAAATTTGGTTTGGTATAAATCCAACAAGCTTCCTTTATTCCTGTGCTGTTTGGTATGTTATGTTCCAATGGATTTAATGGATTGCTTGTTTTTTAATCCCACTCATTCTGTTCACTTAAATAGTTGGTAATAAGCCCATGATAATTTTACTTTATTTTATATTGATTCTCTTGTTGGCCATCCTGATGTGCAGTTCTCCTGTACTACATGTTGCGATCTCTTCTTCTACCACAGAAGGGGTGGAATGGAAATTCACTATGATTAAGAAATGTCTAATAGGTTGTAAGTAGCTACATTACTACATCAGTAGAATGTAATACTTATTTTTTTAACTGTCTCTGCAGTTGGATATTATTATTATTTCTCAAAGCGGGTAAAACGAAGTGTTATTTATGGAAATATGCCAAGAAATAGGTAAGTTAAGTAAAAATATAGTAACTTTTAATAATTTTTTTTTCTTTTGAATACCTGGTATTCTAGTTTAACGTGGTGCCCTTGCAGGATGGATTTGTATTTACCTGCTGATATTCACGAACCCAAACCAGTTTTGATATTTGTAACTGGTGGAGCATGGATTATTGGGTGAGTGACTTGAGATGTCTACATGATATTGCTTCAATTTATTTGTTGGTTTACTACATACCGTTGATTTTGACCCAGAAATTGTGGTATCTGGTGGAGCATGGTTTATCCATGCTTAAGCATTTCTGTCAAAATAGCTTACTGCTGCTCAATGTAGAAAAGAGTTTTGCTCCAGTTGTGACATATTGCAGTTTCATATTTGGGCACCAAATTTAAAGTTTTCTTCTATGATCACTAATCCAAAGTCATAATGAAAGAACTTCCTATTTGGTTAGAAATAAACTGGGCTGTGGACCTGAATTTTGTCAACTTTCAAAGTCCTGAAGCTTGAACCCGAACAAATTTTTGGTTCAAAAAATGCAGGGAACCTGTTCCATGATCAGGCCTTGTCACTTGTAAATGCTATGTACCTGTTAAACTGGCAGAATTTGTTGTCTGCATTGGACATTATTATCTCTGAATACTTGCATTGAGTTTATATAAGCATGCGTATGAATATAAAAGGAGCTTGCATATACATGTGACAGCCCAATCTAACTCGTCATTTTTTGCGGCTGCTTCAATTAGGGGTCATACTGGGTAGTTTTGAAATTGGATTTAAAAATAGACACTGATTAGTAGTTTCAATATGGGCTGATGTATGTTTAGCTTTTAAAATTAAGTTTCTTCATTCTTATTTTAATTTAGGTATAAAGCATGGGGTTCCCTCTTGGGACTGCAGTTGGCAGAAAGAAACATCATCGTGGCAAGCATTGATTACAGGTAAGTGGTCTCAGCTCAACTTAATGCTGTTCAAGAATGACTCTCCATTTACCTATAATCAGAATTGATATGTTTTCTTCTGTCGAAAAGTATTGCTATAGTTCGTGATCAATTTTTAGGGCATTTGATTAACTTCAGGCTATTCATGACAAGAGGGATGTTTGTCTCACGCTTTGATTTTTCTCGCCTGAGATTACTTTCTGATAATCTCAATTAAAGCAATGCTTGGGGGACTATATGTAATTTTGCAAGATTTTAGACCTATTATTCCTGTTGCATGTTGTAGATCTTCATTTCGCACTGGAATTATTCGTTTATTAGTTATTTAAATGGGAAAAGTGCAGCATATCGTTTTTAGGAGAAATATATCCATACTTGATCTGTTAAACAATTTAAGTATAGTTTATAAAATAATAACATTATTTCCAGGGTTAATCTTTCCTTAGATACCACTGTTTCAAAGTCTATGGTATATTCAGCAGTTAATAGATTTCTTATTAATTTTTGAATGCAGAAATTTTCCTCAGGGAACCATCAGTGATATGGTAAAAGATGTCTCGCAAGGAATTTCTTTCATTGTTAACAATATAGCTGATTATGGAGGTGACCCTAATAGGTAACGTGCTACTATTTCTTATTCCACTGCATCACTTCGCATTCAATTATGAGATTGATTGGTTTTATTGATAAATTTGTTATAGGATTTATCTAATGGGGCAATCTGCTGGTGCTCATATTTCTGCTTGTACTTTATTGGACCAAGCAATTCAAGAATTTGGAAAAGGAGATAGCGTTTCCTGGAGCGTCTCCCAGATAAAAGCTTATTTTGGTTTATCAGGAGGGTAAACCTCAGTTGTTTTATGATTAATATGATGGTCTTATATCTGGATTGTATAGTAGAGTTCCTCATTATAGTTCTCATGTTGTTCATTATTTCTTTGATAAATGCAAAATGTTTATCTTTGATACTACTTGTTTGTGAGAATATTTTACGATTGCAGCTTAAGAGGGGTTATTGCCTTTACCATTGCTGATATTTTAACTGAACCTCAAATGTTTCTCTCTTTTTCTTCTTGAGGAAGTAGGCATTAGATTATGAAAAAGGATTCAGAAACCCCTTCTCAGAAGGGAAGCCAGTGACTTTCATGATGGAATATGAGGAGCACATTTTATGACTGTTGGTGCAATCCCCTAATTGCCTTCTGAGCTACTGTGCTCATTATAAATAATGATTACGGCATGTCTTCTGTCTACCTTGATGAACCATTTAGGTTTTTGAATGGCCATAGTTTAGCAGAGGATGTCTTTGCCATGCTAGGGTACTTATGCTCAACATTGAATAAATAGCATGTACAACCCTGCATCATTTTCTATAGCTTTAAATCTGGAGTCTTTTCTATGTGATAATGTCACCATAATAAGTATCTGATTTTACTAAACCACAGTTTGCATGCGAAACAGTTGGTCAATTATGGATCTGCCTCATGGGTACTGTGGATCTTTGGGCTTGAAAGTTTGAAAAAAGTGTAGACTCCTCATATTGAGGGCTGGAACTTAGTTTTAAGGAAATAATAAAGAGGGGCCTGCAAGGACTTCATGCTTAATCACTTATTCATATAGATTTTTAATCTGTCCATAACCATTTTAACTCAAAAGCTCAAGTTATGAATGACAATCTAGGATTGGTTTTACCAATATCTCAACATGCTTAAATTGATGAGAAATTATTTGATAGGAAAATGGGCAGTCTTCTAGTCTAATCACTGCCTTTTGCTCTCCTGTATATTTTCGCTATCTCACACATTTTCTTAGGAAGATAATTTTTTGAGGAAGAAAAAAGCATGGATGCATGTTGGTTGGTTTGGAGACAGTATGGCTATTGATAAAATGTGCTTCTGCTTGTGAGTTAGTTTCACTGGTCAGTCAGTTTATTTATGTTAAAGTGCATGTCTATTAATAATATCAATACATGCTTACAGATACAACTTAATGGATTTAGTCGATCACTTTCATCAACGTGGCTTGTATCGTTCTATTTTTTTAAGGTTCGTTGCCTAAAACTTCATCCTAGCTTTACCTGGTGTTATTCTACTATTGTTCTCTCAAAAAGGGGGAAAAAAGAAGAAGAAGCAGGTTTTTTGTCTCTTTTATATGATTGAGTTTCATTGCAGCATAATGGAAGGTGAAGAATCATTGAAGAAATTTTCTCCTGAACTTAAAGTTAATGATCTACGCATTAAAGATGCCGCTCTTCTCTTGCCCCAAGTTATCTTGTTTCATGGAACTGATGATTATTCCATACCAGCAGATTCCAGGTATATGGTCTTAAAAGTTCCCTGTTTTCAGAGCATCTATTATATCATCTACTTCATTGAAGGAAAATAGGAAAGTATTTTTGTGATATTCTTAAAATCTTTATCACTCATTCTATAAATAAAACCTGACGAACTCAGAATATCTTCCTATTGAATGACTTTTATAATGTTGCAGTTTCGCTTTTTCTTTCTACTGCAGGTGTTATATGTTTGGTCAGAATACCAAATGTTATATTTTTACTCTTGTCTATGAAAACTTAATTGCATATTTTTCATTGCTAACTAGAAGCATTTTTATCAAGTGGCAAGTGTATGTGGTTTTATATAATCGCTTTCAGATATTTATAAGTGATTGCTTGCAGTAAAAAGTTTGCTGATACTCTGAAGAAGGTGGGTGCAAGAACTGAGCTGATTCTATATGATGGAAAAACACATACAGATCTGTTTCTCCAAGTAAGTAATGAATGATATCGAATTCTTTTGGTTTTTCATTTTATTATTAATATAACATATAAAATTTTCTTAAAGAAGATTATTAATAAGTTCTCTTTGAAGATTAGTCTTGTACCTTTCTACCCAAAAAAATGCCACATTAATAGAAAAACATCATATCTTAACTCAAAATCTCAAGACTTCGAATTTATGAGTGATTCTTTTTTATTATATATTGGTTATTAAGCTCAACTTTATTTGATGTGTGACTTCACATAACGTTTGAAATCGACTAACATTTGAACAACTTAACAATACTTTTCCAATATCCTCTTCATATCTCTCTTTTTTTCTTTCTTCTCAAATGTGAACTATATTTTTGGATCCTATTGCGATTGTCCAATGAATGCCTAATTGTTGATCATGAACAGGATCCATTGCGAGGTGGTAAAGACGACCTATTTGAACACGTAGTTTCTATCATACATTCTGGCGAGGATGAAGCTCCAGCAGAGGATGCAATGGCACCCCCAAGAAGACGGTTTTGTCCTGAGTTGTTATTGAAATTGGCCGGCAAGATCAGTCCCTTCTAAGCTTCTGGAAATTATGAGGATTCCTTTCATGTATTGATCATATCATAGGATCTTCTGAAATTTACTCCACTCAAAAATTCGGAGAAACAGAGTAGAAGGTGAGACTATATGCCAATGGATCTTCTCCACTCGTCCATTTAGAGATAAGAATGATGAGAAAATGTGACTGAAGGTGGAGGACAAGGAAGGATCTTACTCAATGGTGTGTGTGTATATTGTATGTCTGGTATATTAATTACAGTTCTGAATCTCTTACTATTCATTTCAGCTTCATGTTATTAGATTTAGAGGATTAGTTGGAATACTGAAGAATTCGGCCATTTATTCATTGCCGTATAATTTATTTATTTTTTCAAATTCATGTAACAAATTTATATTAGGATTGAGTTGGAGTTTTTTGTAAAAATTAATGTCGGAGATATAAATGACTTCATTCTTATTTATAAAATATTTTGAGAAAATATTCTGAAATTCATTACTCATCATAGTTGATCAAACGTTATTTCAGGACTGCACTAATCATTTTTTGATCTTTTAAGATAACATTGTATCAAGGGAAAGTTAAGGATATTAATTATACTTGATAAAATTTTTTGGGACAGATTTTCCCTTTAGCTCGTTTAAAGATATATAAATTTATTAAATGAAGAAAAATAGTAATTTTTACTATGAAAAAGAAAAACATAATTTAAGCATTAATTGTTTTTCCATTCTATTTTCTGGTCGTCTTCATTGTGTTTAGGGGTCCATTTTTTCAATTTTTCAATGCCGTAGAGTTTAGGGCATGACTTTGGCAAACACACAATAGTTAGGCATTGACGAGGAGAAGACCAGCAACAGTTTAATTTCTCTTCACCTATTAGAGGGTTCTTCAATTTAAATAGAGGCTTATCACGGGCAGATTTCAACTACTCACAAATCCAATTTACCAGACATGAAATAACTTGTGATTCGATTAATGTTGCTTTTAGCTTTAATCCTCTTGTCTTTCTCTTGCGGTTTTGCTCCAGTCGTTGCTGATCCTAATGGTAAGATATATATTCTTCCAATTCATTTTCCTTTTGTTAGTTTCCACTACTCTTCGATCTCTTGCTGCAAGGAATCATGGATTCAACTTTAATTTTCATCGCTATATATGCATTCTTTTAAATTTAAAACCATTCATGCCTTTTTTTTTTCCATTTCTGTTTTAATCCCATCATCATACGTAAATTTAAATTCTATATTGTGCTCTTATTTCTACTTTTTATTTAAAAAGAAAAAAAATTAAAGTGGGTCTATTTTGAAATCAAAATCTCTATTGCAACAGTATGATGCTATTAAAAGATAAAGATAAACGCATAAATTGAGGGCTTACCCAACATATAATAAGACTTACTTTACTTAAAATTTTTGTGTTTTTCTCTCTCCTTTTAACATGGTGTTGATGAGAAGCAAGATCTCTCTTGCTCTCTCCCTCCTGTTCTTAGTCCTACCCTCGCGCATTATGAGGGCAGGCTTCTTTAATTTTTTTTGTTCGTTAACTTTTTTTTTAAAAAAAAAAATCCATCCCTCCTTAGTCCTTACTACATGAGGGCAAGGCCAAGAACAGGAGGGAGAGAGCAGGAGAGATCCTGCCCCTGGTGTTGATGTTTCTTGCCACTTCTACATCGATAATAATGCAAGAACATTATAGAAAATGCAGTAAAGTTGCAACGCTCCTCAGCTCTCTAGATTAATAGGTTAGCTAGATAAATCAAAGTCATTAAATTGACTCATTTTAACAACTCTTAAAAGAAAATTAAGAGTATGTATACGTATGTTTTAAGATTAAGTTATACTAAATTTATCCTCACTCCTTGGCCTTCATCTTCATGGGTTTGATTTTATATAAGTTGCAGGAAAGAAAGAAGAATTATACAACAATGGATGTGGACCCTATGTGAAGACATGTACTGGTGTCCCACCACCACCTTGCACCAATCCAATCTGCGTACAGATATCATCATCAATCAATATTAGTAATAATTAATGAATAAATAGTTAATTGTAACTCTTTGATTAAATATTTGTGATATGCTTGTGCTGCTATCCCCCCGCCCTCTCTCTCTATATATATATATATATATGTACACACTAGGTGATCAAAGTTTCAAGCTATTGTAATAATAAGCAGGGAAGCTCTGGCGTTTTAGTCTCTCATTTATCTACTTTGGAGTTAAGGTTTGAACTTTTTCTTTTATATTATTTAATAATGTAAATCTTTTGCCCTCCCAATTTTCTCCTTCTATATCCTGATCTTTTCTTTCTTTTTTGTTTGTCTTTTGTTTGCATGGTTACACAACAAAAGTATCACGCGCGCGCGCACATTCACTAAGCCCCATGCAACGCGAATTCTACTACAACTAAACTCATGACTTTGTTTGTCTATTTTTTTAAATAATACTTAAATCTCAGAATATTAAATTAATGATAATTAAATTTTGACAAAATTTTAAAAAAATAAGTTAAAAATATCAATACAGATAATTGTAAATAAATATTTAAGTATTAAATATAATTTTTAAATTGTAAAAGAGTTTTATTTATAACTCTTTGAATTGATATTTATAATTCATTGTTTAGAAAATTTTGTTATGAATTTAACTATTATTAATTCAATCTTTTGGACTTAATTACCATTCTTCCTACTTTATATTTTGGTCTGTATGTCTATTACTATAATTATAATAGAAATTCCTTTTTTTTTTTGTAAACAATTATAACAGAAATTCTACTACTTAAGAATTTCAATATTTTAAGGTAGCGGAAGAAGAAGGAGATATTACACCCACACACACACAATCTGTAATTAGTTAAAACAAATAATTATGCTGAATTTTCAAATTTTAAAATTATTCTAGAAATTAAATTGTTAAGGCACTTCAAGTCACTTTATTTAATTTGTTCATCCTTATTTTCTCTTCATTGTCGTTTATTATTATTATTCAAGTACAAGTCCACAAGCTTCTCATGTTAAAGATGACTCAAACACCAAGTCTACACTCCTAAACTAGAGCCAACGCACTTTTCAAATTACCCACAGTCAATTCCATTTTTGGCTTCAAACATGCAAGCAATATTGACTTTCAAGTTGCGGACGAAACTTAATCAAGAATGATGAGTGACCTCTTGAAAATGAGAGGAAGATAAATGGGTGAATAGAAGTAGAGAATATCACATTTTAATTTAAAACCTCAAAGCTAACATAATTTTGAAGATAACAACCTCTTAAATGACACTTACATCTTCTGAAAAATTAGTCTTACAATTGTCAATTGTGAGAATACCTTGGCTGATAGGAAAAAAAAAAACCTCAAAACTCAAATTTACATGTCCTTGATGTTAGTTATTGAGCTTAATTTTATCAGTCTTAAGTCCATTCATACTTGAATAATTTAACATTTGTGGTCCCCACACCGTTTTTAAAAATATAGAAAAGCAAAAGGAAAAATTACATCTAAGTTCCACAAAAAAGAATTTATTATCAAGATATCTCATAAAATTAATAAAATATTCTCAAATCTCAAATCTTGTGCATTTACAACTTGATTGAGAGTTTCAACAACTAGACAACAACCATTTACAACTTACTATTATAAGTTGTCATTTTTCTTTATAAGTTATAAATGGCCGTTTCTCAGTTGTCAATGCCTTAGATCAAGTTATAAATGTATAAGATTTAAAGCTTGATGGCATTTTGTGAATTTTATAAAATTTTTTATGTAAAATTTAGATGTAATTTTTTCAAAAGCAAAATGCGAAAAGTCTCTCCGAGTATTATTGGAAGTTTGTTTGATCTCCCATGTGCGCACGTCCCCTCCAGTGTCAAGTCAATAAGCTAGTCTTCTCTGCGACCGAGTCAATTGGATTTTTCTTTAAATATCAAGAAATTAGTTGTATAATTGGTTAAAAATGAAAGAGCAAATGGCAATAACTAGCTAGGAAGCGGGTCCATGCTTACATAATATTGATGTTTGAATAAGATTAAGATTTGAGTAATTCAGATTTGATATCCTATAAAATTATTATATTAAAAATGTTAAATTATAACAAAATATAAATAATAAAAATTAAACTGTTAAAAATTAATATGGACAATTAAAATGTACAGTAAAAACAAAAAAAATTAAATATTTTATAGGAGATTAAATTTGAATTATCCAAATATCTAGATCTAATGATTAGAGATTAAGAAGAGAATGGTAAAAGGATGAAAAGGGAAAAGAAGAGAATCATCTTCTAGTTTTGAGCCCACAACTGACTTTGCAATATATAGGAGGTGTTTGGAGATTTAAAAAAAAATTATGATTTTAGTTTCATAATTGATTCTTATATTTGGTCAAAATTGATAGGAAGGTGCTAGATGATCCATTTTTTTATAATAGAGGCTATCAAATGCTCCTTAAAAAATAGTTCATGATCATATTTGCACCTTTATTTGTTGAGATAGAGTGTCACGTGTAAGTTCAATTAAAAATTTGTGAGTCCCATATGAGAAGTTAATGTCTGTTAAATAAAAATTAATAGAGGCTACTAGATACTCAGTATTTAAAAGTTAAGAATTTATTTCATACCACCTTATAATATAGGCTATCAATGCTCTTAAAAAAATAGTTAAAGGCTATAACATCTCAAATTTTAATCCTTAGATTATTGAGAAATTAATCAAGTTTGATTATAGTAATTGAGTAATTTGATGTGGTGTGTGGCCAGAGAGGTCTAATAAATATATTCAATTGTGTTTTCAGCTCTAATTATGGGTCTGAAGTGAAGTCGGGCCATTCCGACATCAAGAGGCCAGAAAGATCTCTGTGCCACATGCTGCAGCAAGCAGCACGTCTACCATGGCACATATATGACAACAATGAAGAAAGGGTCTCTTTGTGCCATGCACTGTGACGCACAATCAAAATTTTTATTAAACTAGTTGCAAACTGAGACAGAAATCCAAACGAAGGTGCTCGACAAAGCTTTGTTAAGGTTTACCACATTAGTAGTTTGGGAGTATCTTGTTCTAGATAATACGTAAGGTAAGTATCCTAAGCCTTAATCTCATTTTCTCTTTTATCTTCTTGAAGTTTTTAATTAGGGTTTGATAATGGGAGATAATTTTCGGTCCATATGGATTACGGGTCTGAACCCATTAACTTAAATGGAGTTAATGAGAATTGTTTAGAGTATTTAAACTTAGTATTAATGATTTTAAAGGTTGTTGGTTGGTAAATGCCATAAATATCCTAAAATGGCGTTAATGAGGGTTGTTGGAAAACTTGTAATGCCATTAATGGAGATTTAATAGCTCATTAATAATATTGTGAGCTAAAGATAGTTAATAA